AATATTTTAAAACAAATGAATATAATCGCCTACTAGACGAATAACATTAGCAAATTTATAAATTTACAACGATAATCAACGTATATCTTGTTCGAGTAATAGTGATACCAAAAAATATTCGATAATTTTGTCCATGAGTGTAGTTGGGCAAATTTATCCTGATTTAGATATTGATCTAATTGAAACTGCGGTTTCTCCATCTTATCAAACTGCAAATAAACGGACCTTTAACATCAGCATCTTGCTCTTCAGGTACATAAATAAACTTTACAGTTGAACAACAAGAGCTACGATTTCTCCTACCGTTGTTATCTAAATAGTTTGGCTTCGAAGTAGAGCAGGCAACTCGTAAGTTCGATAAACGTAAACAGAACTAGACATCCATTGCCCTGAATTATCTGAATTCTGGTTAAAACCACAGCTATAATGTCCAAAGCGAAAGGTTTATCTGAAATGGTCTTGGAGCTTCTTGTTTTTTCATAGGTTAATGTAATGAATAGGTATGAGATCGAAAGTTATGTTTGCACCTGTTGGTCTATTTATGTTGGTTTTAAGGCTAACCAGCTGTTTTACAAACTAATTTAAAGTGCAGTTATATTGTTAAGAATCCTTTTAATATTTTTGCAACACAGGGTGAGTCTTGTCCAAAATATACAGGGTTGTTCACCACATACGACACGGAGTATTATAGCGATATTGTGTAACGATTAGATTTTTACATATTGTAAAGTTTTGGGTTCGTTGAAGGACTATTAGAGCTACAATTTAAAAATAATTTTACAAGATACAGAGTGTCCCAAATAAGTAAAAAATATTATAGTTGTATTTTTTTTTAAATGGAACACCCTGTATATTATTCTATTTTTAGAATCTACGATTGAAATAAAGGTAAATTTGATTAGGGTTTATCACACTTAAACCTTACCGTTTTTGAAATATTTTCATTTTTATAAAATTGCAGTAAACATTTTAAGGCTTCATTTCTCCAATGGTATCAAAGTTTTTAATGCTAAATATTTACTGAAGTTTATTTATTGATCAGATATTGTGTTGCAATTATAAATGAAATATTACCTTATACAGAGTGTCTAAATTTTTTTATTAAATAATTACTAGCTTTAAACGGCAATAACTTGTTTAATTTAAATAGAACCCCCTGTATGTTTTACGGGAATCAGATGTACAATTTAATTGTCTCCGAAATTGTATTATACCATTTTTTACCCATACTTTCAAGTTTTCGTAGAAAATGCATTTTCTTATAATTTAGATCTCATTTATCACTATACCTATGGAATATTGACATTTTAGATTATTTTTAAAAATGTAACAACTTTTCAAAGAGTACAGATACCAATATTGTCTATCTACTTCGCTTATTTCATTAAAAAATAAAAAAAAACTGTTTAAATATTTTTTGTTAAAGAGAACCAATTAATAAGATCCCAGTATTCAAACTACATTAATTGAATCTTTGACGTTGATTAATAATAATTGCTCCAAATACTAAAAACCTGAATTTTGTATTAGACAATGTGGTAAAAAGTAATAATATATGAAAATAGTAATTTTATATGAAATAAAATTTTTGACGAATGCTTATTTATAACAACAGAGACGTTCTGAGTCGATGTTATAATTTGAAAAAATCTAATCGTTTAGCTACAATACTCCGTGTCGTATGTGGTGAACAACTCTGTATAAACGCTTGATTTGTAGATATTAGTTTAGTTTTAATCATCTGCTGATGATGCTAACATGGTAAGCGAAACGCGCGTCCAGTGCAAAAGTAAAGTGTTTTGGTGAATTAATGTTTTATTTCGCTTTAGTGTGATACTTTACAGCAAAACTTTTCTATTAGTAACTATATTTTCCACAGAATATTGTCAATAAATTTGACATTATCGGTTTATTGTGGCCTTTGAATAAGAAGACTAAGGAAGGAGCATAACGCTATCCATGTATTCATGCATGGTGGGCGGAAAAAGCGCCATAAAAGCACTCTAGGGTGGGGATCCTTGACAGTTCTGTTTGACGATTCATTTGACACATTTGAATTTGATTTGAAATTTTGTGGAATTGTCAGTCTTTACGGAGCTTATTTTATGTTATTTATAATTTATTCTACTACTGATAGTTGTATAAAGGTAGTAAATCTAGATGGAAATTGTGGCAGCACTTAAATTAACAGTGACACTATCGCGATTTATCGAAAAAGACTCTAAAATAGTTGGTTGTGTAGCATGTGGTAGATCTCGGCAAAAATAGAGTGAAATAATGGAACAACTTTTCGCTAGTAAGTGACTATATAATATACATACGTGTAGTAAACCGATCATTTATGAAATTCACTTAAATTAACTAAATTATATATTTTTCTTGCATTTTAGCTTTTATTTATTACTTGTCAAAGATTAGATGTCAAAGAATTTAGATACGTTAATTTGACTTACCTGCTTCAGTAGCGTATCGGATGTTTGTGGTAATAAATACTTATTATAACTTATCTATTTTTATTAGAATTATATATGTTTATAACAATTTTAACTACCAACATTTATTCACAACGTAAAATAAAACAACAAATTATTGAGTCTACCCCACGTCTACCCTACATCATAGTTTTACATTTTTTAAATAAAATTAGAACGACACTGATAAACCGGAATTTAAGTAGGCCATATTTGAGGCCCATCGCGGTGTATCTAAGATTTTTGATATGCTCCTTCCTTAGTCTTCTTATTCAAAGGAAAGCCCGTAAAAATTTTAGGTCGCGAAATTATTTTGGGTCGCGACCGTTATACGCGATCTGGCGCTGCTATAGCGGTCGCTAAGAACAACGGCAAACAAAAACAGAAATAATTTTCTCTTGTCAAAGTCAGAATCTTCAAAAATCATAATAATCTTTCAAAATCTAAACCGCTCTCCAGGGGCGGGAAAGTGAAATAGCAAAAGCGGTTCCACCGTTTCCTTGGAAATTTCAAATAAAATAGTTCCAGCCTCAGGCGCTAGGTGGTAGTGCAATTAATTTTAGGTTAAGAAGTTGCTACTCGTTATTGCCAGATGGCGTTAAATCAGAATTTTTTTTGTAGTTTCCATAGTTTCCAACGGCCATTGTCATACTATTGTCAAATTCTCAAAAAATATTGTCGTTGTCATAGAAAATGATTATCAAAACGTTTTTCAAACTATAATTTGTTATATGTGTTTTTATTAGACAATTCCTTTTGTTTGTGGCTCTAAAAATATAATGTAAGTCTTTTATTTTTGCCTTTATTTAAGTACCTATTTATATTTACTCCATTTACAAAACTTTGAGCGTATTACGTTGGTCTTGTTTTATTATAATAAATGATGTTTAAAAATTTGACTTATAAATAAAAACTTTAAATACTAAATAATATTTCACATGTTTGGCTTTACTTTTATTTAATAATTGTATAAATTATACTGTTAAATCTTATTTTTTACACATCACAATGATACTTGTTATTAGTATTGTTGAATTTGTGTGAAAAATAAGATTTAATAATCAAATTTAATTATTTTACAGTAAAATTCAATAAATACGCTCATTTAAAAAGCCCGCGCTTCGATACATTTAAAACAAGCCCCACTCAATAGATGGCGCCACTTCTGTAGGACCATTTTTCATTATGGCAGAGTCCATTCTTTTTCTAGCTAGGTATATTCTTTGCCGCTCTCATTAAAGAAATTCCGAAAAGTGTTTATAGCGTTCATTTTCAAAGTAATTATTGCTATCTTGTGAGTTTAATTCAAGTTTTATTTACTTCAACCGGTGATAATTGTGAAAAAGTGGCATTAAAAAAACTTAAAAAGCTGTGCTGTGAACTATGAACTACAAAAACCATCGTGGATCGTGGCATAACGTCGGTTTCCAATGTTTCATAGGCATTTCATACATGCGTCCTTATATAAAATAAAGTTTCTTGTATGCAACACACTGTATTTTATTTATAAATAAATGAACGAAAATAATACTAAATTTGAATAAACCTTTGAATAAGAAGACTAAGGAAGGAGCATAATGCTATCCATGTATTCATGCATGGTGGGCGGAAAAGCCACCATAAAAGCTCTCTAGGGTGGGGATTCTTGACAGTTCTGTTTGACGATTCATTTGACACATTTGAATTTGATTTGAAATTTTGTGGATTTGTCAGTCTTTACGGAGCTTATTTTATGTTATTTATTATTTATTCTACTACTGATAGTTGTATAAAGGTAGTAAATCTAGATGGCAATTGTGGCAGACCTTAAATTAACAGTGACACTATCGCGATTTATCGAAAAAGACTCTAAAATAGTTGGTTGTGTAGCGTGCGGTAGATCTCGGCAAAAATTGAGTGAAATAATGGAACAACTTTTCGCTAGTAAGTGACTATATAATATACATACGTGTAGTAAACTGATCATTTATGAAATTCACTTAAATTAACTAAATTATATATTTTTTCTTGCATTTTAGCTTTTATTTATTACTTGTCAAAGATTAGATGTCAAAGAATTTAGATACGTTAATTTGACTTACCTGCTTCAGTAGCGTATCGGATGTTTGTGTTAATAAATACTTATTATAACTTATCTATTTTTATTAAAATTATATATTTTTATAACAATTTTAATAACTACCAACATTTATTCACAACGTAAAATAAGTCTATAAATAAGTCTACCCTACATCATAGTTTTACATTTTTTAAATAAAATTAGAACGACACTGATAAACCGGAATTTAAGTCGGCCATATTTGAGGCCCATCGCGGTGTACCTAAGATTTTTGATATGCTCCTTCCTTAGTCTTCTTATTCAAAGGAATAAACAATATTTGGCGATATAATTCCGGAAAAAGCCGAACCGCTCCGAAATTTTCAAAAGTTTTGGGTCGCGACCGTTGCAAGAATAGCGCCAAATAGTGTTTACATTGTCCTTATGGGCACTTTCCAATCTAAACTTGTTTCATTTATCTATGCACTTACCTTAAAATTGTACACAGACGGGAATATCTTCAGCGAGTAAGTATTTTCGATTTTCAGCACGTCAACCTCATGCAATCCTTCCGTGGGTAGAGTAGTTATTGCAGTATCGGACAGATCTCTGAAATATTTAAAAAAACGGAAAAGTTAAAAATGGCATAGTGCCAAACACGTAAAATAGAGTGTTATACATAAATATTTGATCGAAAAATATGTGTGTTATAAATCAACTGCAAACTTGTATATTTTTAAATTATAAATTGTTGTTTTAACAATATTTGTATTTGTTGTTTTAAATTATTTTTTATCGAGGGCTTTGTAAACATTCAAAGATAAAACAGAGTTTTCAAAATTAACAAAAAATAAGAAAAATGAAGATTTTATCAAAAACTGTAAGCATTTGAATTTTTTTACAGTAAATATAAAGAGAAGAAGAAAATATTGGTAGTCTTAGAAAACTAAGTATTTTCTTTGTGAAACAAAATACACAAATATACAGGGTGTTTCAAAACAAATGCGAAAAACTTCAGGGGGTGATTCCTTGTTCAAAATAAAGGATAGTTTGCTTCATAAACGTTGGGTCAAAAGTCAACCATTAGGGAGATATCGCGGTACAAAGATGGCGGAAAAATAATGTTTTTGTTTTTTATCTTGAAAACGGAAAGAGATAGACTAATGAAATTTTATGCAAGCATTACTGTTATGAAAACACACTTTCTGGTAATTTTTTCACTTTTTTAAAATGAGTGGAAGGGGTTGAAATAAACTACCCCTATCATTCTTGTTAACGAAATTTAAAGAAAAATCTTATCAAACACATGCAAAAAAATGATTTGGATAGTTTAGTTTGTTTAGAAACTTTTTTATCTCTTGTATTTTTATAAAACTCACCGATTTGAAATTAAAAATAAAATGTAAAGCATTACATATCAGGACAAAAAACATTTTTCTGATCAAAGAATCTAGTGGGCTGCTGTAATTTTTTTAGGAAAAAATCTTGTCGGCCGCTGTTACCTTTTAGGATGTTCCTAATATTATTTTATTTGACATTACTCTACTGCAATACGTTATTATCTAGATGATTATTATTATCGTTATTATCACTAGATTCTTAATCTAAAAATGTTTTTTGTCCTGACATGTAATGCTTTACATTTTATTTTTTAATTTCAAATCGGTGTTTTATCAAAAAAATACAAGAGATAAAAAAGTTTCTAAACAAACTAAACTATCCAAATTAATTTGTTTGCATGTGTTTGATAAGATTTTTCTTTAAATTTCGTTAACTAGAATGATAGGGGCAGTTTATTTCAACCCCTTCCACTCATTTAAAAAAAATGAAAAAATTACCAGAAAGTGTGTTTTCATAACAGTAATGGTTCCATAAAATTTCATTAGTCTATCTCTTTTCGTTTTCAAGATAAAAAATAAAAACATTATTTTTCCGCCATCTTTGTACCGCGATATCTCCCTAATGGTTGACTTTTGACCCAACGTTTATAAAGCAAACTACCCTTTATTTTGAATAAGGAATCACCCCCTGAAGTTTTTCGCATTTGTTTTGAAACACCCTGTAGATTCAATATGAAGTCGGTCGTAAAATCTGTAAAATTCTTATGGCTTGTTGTAGACAATTCTCTGAAATGGGACATGCATATCGACGTTTTGTCGAAAAAATTAAGCTCTGCCTGTTTTGCGTTAAGATCTGTTTCTAAGGAGCTTAACTTGTCAGTGGCTAGAACTGTTTATTATGCACTTTTTGAGTCGTACCTCAGGTATGCCCTTCCATTCTGGGGTACGTGTTGTGCGACTCAATTTGACCGCATTTTTAAGCTCCAGAAGAGAGCTGTTCGATATTCACTGGGACTAAACAGCAGGGCTCATTGCCAGGACTTTTTTAAAAATTAAAAATAATAACTCTTCCTTCCTTATTTATATTTGAATCCGTTTGCCTAATATGTAAGCATGTATCAGCTTTTCAAGAAAGGCCATCTCACACTTATCCACTCAGGAACGCCGAGCAAGATCTTTATCTACCTACCCCACGCTCAGAGTTAGTTAAAAGTTCAATATTATACAACTCGAAAGAAAATGCACAATCACCTGCCATTTGAAATCAAATCCATAACATCATTTTCTATATTTACGAACGACATCGAAATAAATTTATTTAGAGGTCATTGATATTTACTACAAACTAACTAAATATTTTTGAATATTATTTTTAATTTTTTATTCTTTGACATTGTAAACGTTTTTAAATGTTTATTTTAAACAATAAGACTGACAATGTTATTTGTATAATGTTTTGTATTCGCTTTTGTTTGTTTGTTTACTTTACTTTTGTCTACGAATTGTAAAAATTTTTGACAATAAAGGCGTTTATTTAATTTTTATTATAATTACATAATTTGCGTAATCATGAGAGTCACATTCTTTTTATCGAATGTAGTAATAAATATTAAATTTAAGGCAGAGCACACTGTATTATTTTTTATGTACAGGATGTCCCATTTTTGCGTGTCATTGTTTGACATTGATACATTCTTGAAGAATTGATGTCTGAAACATTATTTTTTTGTGTCATGAAATATTCTATTAAAGGGAAAGTCTTGATGAATAATAGATAATGTGGCGGAAATAGTTGGCCAACAAATATGATGTAATATGATTTGTGTATATCGTTATTACATCTTTCCGTTATACACTCTAAAGCCCCATACTCACACTTCGCTACTTCACTTCCTTCCTTCGTCGCGTCCCTTCGTCCAAAAATCTTATATTTACTATGGGAAATGTCGATTTTATGCGACTGTGTGCTCCTTCGTCCGTTTACTTCCTCGAAACGCTCCTTCCCCGTACTGTCGGTTTTTGGACGAAGTAGCAAAGGAATTATCACGAACACATTAGATTATTTTTAAAGATGTACCAAATTTTTAAAGAGTACAGATACTAATATTGTCGATATAATTCGTGTATTTCATTAAAAAATAAAAAAAACTGTTCAAATATTTGTTAAAGAGGACCAATTAATATGATTCCAGTATTCAAACGACATTAACTGACTGTTTGCGTTGATTAATAATAATTGCTCCAAATACTAAAAAACTGAATTTTATATGGGCATTAGACAGTGTGATAAAAAGTAACACCTTAAAAATGAAATTTCATTTTTCATAAATACTTATTTATAACAACAGAGACTTTAATTTGATAACTTATTATTATATTGATTTCTGACTCAAATCCACATTTATTTATAATAATTTATTAACGAACACAATTAAGTATGTAATTAATTAGTATATGGGCGGAAATAATGGTGTTATATTTAATTAATGGTATACTCTTTGATAAAGATTTAAATAGTTTTCTTTTGCATACAAATGGGCTAGTAATATTATCGTTTTGCTAAAAACGATAATATTACTAGTCTGTACATTTTGTACATTTGTTGCTTTAAAAACAATCTAAAATGTCAATATTCCATGGATATATTGATAAATGAGGTCTAAATTATAAGAAAATGCATTTTCTACTAAAACTTGAAGGGATAGGTAAAAAATGGTATAATGCAATTTGATAGACAATTTAATTGTGCATCTGATTCTCCTAAAATATACAGGGCATTCTATTTAAATTAAAGAAGTTGTTGCCGTTTGAAGTTAATAATTATTTAAAGTAAATTTTTAGACACTCTCTATAAAGTAGTATTATTTTTATTATTGCAACACAATAACTGATCAATAAATAAACTTCATTAAATATTTAGTATTAAAAACATTGATACCCTTGGAGAAATAAAGCTTTAAAATTTTTACTGCAATTTCACAAAATTGAAAATATTTCAAAAACGTAATGTTTAAGTATAATAAACCTTAATCAAATTTACCTTTATTTAATCGTAGAAACTAAAATGTAATAATATACAGGGTGTTCCATTTAAAAAAATACAACTTTGATATTTTTTGCTTATTTGGGACACTCTGTATCTTGTAAAAATATTTTTAAATTGTAGCTCTAATAGTCCTTCAACGAACCCAAAACTTACAATTTGTAAAAATCTAGTCGTTTAGCTACAATACTCCGTGTCGTATGTGATGAACAACTCTGTATATACCCAGATTTTATTTATCTACAAATTGGGTACTTACCCACCGCCCATCACTGATCCTTTTCACCTTTTCGATATCATCTTTATATCTCTACTCATCAACCAGAAACCCCATAAAACACACAAAAATGGGACATCCTGTACATCTAGCAATCGCCAGTCGATATAAAAATAATTCACACACAATAGTCTAAAAAATGGAAGAAAAAAACAATATTGTCTTCATATTTGTGAAAAAATACATGTCCATATTTATGTAATCGTAGCGACAAAAATAAAAAAAAATAGAAATAGTGTGCATGATGCCTTTACAAAAATATCTGAAAAAATGGGGATTGCCCTCAACGTTTAATTAGTATGTCATATTTCATAGTTTCGATATAAATTACATAATAAACTTTACTCTATTGTTGACTCGCCTTGTACATTCATACTGATATACCTTATACATGATACTGCAATATATATTATTAAAATTCAATTTTTATTTTTGACACGACAAAGAATTGCAGTTTTATAAAATAAAAATTATGGGCCTTTTATGGATTTTTTAAAATTTTTAGAGGTTACTATATATTTCGTAATAAACATGTAGCTGCTATATTAAAAATATTTTGTGGTGTGCTGTTGCATAAGCGACTAATTTCCAAGCATCGAATGGACGAAGAAAGGAAGCGAAGGAACGAAGGAACGAAGTGAAGTGACGCGAGGAAGAGACGAAGGAGCGAAGTGTGAGTATGGGGCTTAAGACCCTAATTGTGCAAATAATTTAAAAACGGCTTAACCGGACGTTGATCGGTAGCCTGTTCTAATCAAGTACTTTAAAAAGTTCCATTAAAAGTTTCTTCTAAAATCAATAGGTAGTCAATAAACAGTACCCTTAAAATCTACATGTTATTTCCTACCCGGTATATTCCTTCCGGAAAACTTTTTAAACATAAATCTCACCTGGTTGCATAAATAAAACTACCTCAGTGCCTGTCTCCTACCTATTGAATTTCCCAGATGCCTTTTAAATTGAAAAGCTTATTTTACAGACAATGCAGATGCCTAGCTTTTGTGCCGCCTGACTTATACTTACATGTGGCGCAGGTTATGTAATCCTTGGAAAGCTCTTCGGTGCAGTACTTTAAGTTTGGTATTTCCTCGAAAAACGCTGCAAAAATAACAAATATAACATTAAAAGCTCCTTCAAAATCCATATAAGTTAATATTCAAAAATTTACAATAACCGAAATACAAAATAGACTTCGGCAATTTTGTTTTCTCATACAGGGTCGTTTTTATATACGGAAACGATCGATTATTAGGTAAAATATAGGAGGTACCGCAAAAAGTTAAATACACAGTTTATAGGATGTTTAAATATCTATTAGTGAGTAATAAATTTAAGTATACAGGGTCGTTCATAAAGTCGTGGCACATCAAAGTTTCATTTTTTTAAATAGAACCCCCTGTATATTATTATATATTTCAATTCTTCCTTCAATTCTAAGCAAAAATCGAAATACACATAATGTACCTCAAAGCAACCGTTTCCGACTTATTGACATTTGAAAATATCACTTAAACCATTCGATTTAATTAATTTCGATTTGTTTGGTTTTATTTAATGACGCCATTCTGCCAAAACTGTGATACTGTTGTAAGGGGTTTTTGAATGTCTATTAGCTACTAGTAAATTTAAGTATACAGGGTCGTTCATAAAGTTGTGGCACATCAAACTTTATTTTTTTTAAATGGTTTTATATTATTGCATATTTGTTTGGGGTTTAAAGTACATTGTGTGTATTTCGATTTTTGCTCTGAATTGAAGGAAGAATTGAAATATGCATTAATATACAGGGGGTTCTATTTAAAAAAAATAAAACTTTAATGTGCCACGATTTTATGACCGACCCTGTATAATAGATATTTAAAAACCTTGTAACTTTTGTATTTAACTTTTTGCGGTACCTTCTATATTTTAGTTAATAGTCGACCGTTTCCAGCGACTCTGTATAATACCTAAAATGAAGTATCTGCACATTAATTTTTTTTCATCAAAATTTGTTTACCCTCTCCAAAAATAACAAAAATTATTATTATATCTGCTACATAAACAAAATGATCTCGAAAAATCTAATTTAAATTTTCCATCGTTTTCCTGTTAAGTTCCGTTTTAATATAATAGCAACCCCCGATAATAAAGTGTTTTCCTGATTTTTTTATAGTTTATATAGTTAAAATTAAAGAGAAATAATGTATACTCACAGCGAGGCAATTTGAGACTCGGCAAACGCAGCTTCTTCTATAATTTCTATCTCGTTGAAACTCAATATCCTGCAAAATAAAATGTTTAATTTATGTACAGTACGTCAAAAAAGGTGTGTACAGTCTGTTGCATCGCCGCGCCGAGCTGAATATAGGAAATCCCGTGTAAATTTTAAAAATAATGAATAAGTTTTTCCCGTTTTATTTTACAAAAAAAAATATTTGAAACTTTTTAAAGAACTCCTTAAAATGAAGCAAATTGTTTATTTTCAATAGTTTCTACTGATTCCTTTTGAAGTATTTAATGTCAAATTGACGTTATTGTTGTCAAAAATAATTTCTGAATTATGAATTATACAACTATTAACATACTAAAATATGTTAATATCTCAACTGCGACTTTGACTGATTTTGATGTTATTATAAACTAGGTTTTTCCCGCGACTACGTTCGCGTTACACCTGGAATAGTTCATGCATTGATTAAATGATTTACTTTGTATATAGAGCTAGTGAGCCTTACAAAAAATGCCCTATTTAAACTATGTTTTTAAGAGTTTTAGAGCTACTCGTATTTCATATAAAAGTTATCAATTGTCGATTTTCTGGGTATTATACAGGTTTTGAATAAGTGCAAATATTTTCAGGGCTGGTAGATCTCGATAAAAAAACATATTTTCTCTTTACCGTTTTTCAAATAATTCTTTCGAATTACTTTAAAAATTTCCAAAAAAAAAATGTTTTTTGCTTAAATTTTGAGAACCACTGCAGCACGGGTTTTTCTGTCTTGTAAATTTAATCTTCTACCTATCTATGTTACCATATTATCAAGAAATTATGGTTTTTAACTAAAAACTAAAAAAAAATCCAAAAGGTTTTTCAAAAAATTCCAAATTTTCAAAAAAAATTTCGCGAAAAAACTCATAATCGTGTTTCTGGGATCAAATATACCTACTAGATAAAAAACGAATTTCAAAAATCTCTTCTATTTCTTTTTGTAGGATTTCATTCTTCTAGACCACATAGTAAGGAATTTTCGTACAACAAATTGTTCCGACATAATTTTACTCTCTAAGAGGATGAATTTCCTAAAATCGCTTTGTGTAGTTAATTCACTAATGTCGTTTAAACGAACTTTTGTTCTAATATTTATGTATCTAAAGCTGGCTGTATGAACTGATCCCTAAAATATCTAAAAACTTGACATATAATCTATCTGACAAACCACTGACAATGACAAATAATTTATTTCTGGAGGTATTGTGTGTAGGTGTTTTTCAGGTATGTTTTATTATTTTAGTCAATTTACACAAAGAAATAGCCATTCAACAATTTATAAATACTTCATAACAAATCTAGACATATATACTTTTCATTTAAAAAAAGAATCATCAAGATTGGTAAAGCAGTTTCGGCGGGATGGATGTAACAAAAAAAACATATATAAAAGCTCAAAAGCCCTTTGAGCTTTTATATATGTATGGATTTTGTTGCAAATATTATTCCTAATCTTAATTTGAAAACCGCATTTCGCTAGCTACTGTAATTTTGGAATTACGATTTTTAAAAATTTTTAGCCCCCTCCTATACCCCCTTAACAACCCCCCACCCCCACCAAAAACTAATGGCCAGATTGTCGGGTGCCACAGTATTTTTGTGCCAAATTTGGTTAAAATCGGTTAAAATTAAAAATTAAAAACAGACAGCCAGACAGACAGACAGACAGACGGACAGACGGACAGACGGACAGACGGACAGACGGACAGACGGACAGACGGACAGACGGACAGACGGACAGACGGACAGACGGACAGACGGACAGACGGACAGACGGACAGACGGACAGACGGACAGACGGACAGACGGACAGACGGACAGACGGACAGACGGACAGACGGACAGATCGGACAGATCGGACAGACGGACAGACGGACAGAACGACAGACGGACAGACGGACGAACGGACAGACGGACAGACGGACAGACGGACGAACGGACAGACGGACAGACGGACAGACGGACAGAACGGACAGACGGACAGACGGACAGACGGACAGATCGGACAGACGGACAGACGGACAGACGGACAGACGGACAGACGGACAGACGGACAGACGGACAGACGGACAGACGGACAGACGGACGAACGGACAGACGGACAGACGGACAGACGGACAGACGGACAGACGGACAGACGGACAGACGGACAGACGGACAGACGGACAGACGGACAGACGGACAGACGGACAGACGGACAGACGGACAGACGGACAGACGGACAGACGGACAGACGGACAGACGGACAGACGGACAGACGGACGGAGACGGACAGACGGACAGACGGACAGACGGACAGACGGACAGACGGACAGACGGACAGACGGACGGACGGACAGGACGGACGAACGGACAGACGGACAGACGGACAGAGACGGACAGACGGACAGACGGACAGACGGACAGACGGACAGACGGACAGACGGACAGACGGACGAACGGACAGACGGACAGACGGACAGACGGACAGACGGACAGACGGACAGACGGACAGACGGACAGACGGACAGACGGACAGACGGACAGACGGACAGACGGACAGACGGACAGACGGACAGACGGACAGACGGACTGACGGACAGACGGACAGACGGACAGACGGAGAGACGGACAGACGGACAGACGGACACCATAAAAATATTTGGTATTTATTTCATTTATGACCCAAATAACACATTTTGAGTGAAATTAAAAAAACTTTTTTTTGCCGATTTTAATAACCTACCATACATGTTGGTATGGTCAGCTAAAAATAGTTTAGTGGTATTATGGAGAAAATATTTTACAGGGTGTAAAGTATTAATTTTTTGTACATTTTTCAAATAGCCCAGAACAGTTACTAAAGCCTATAAATAATGTAAAAAGAAGAATTTCAATAGGAACAGATACTAAGGAATGTAAATATAAAAAAAAGAATAATATTGACAAGGATCATCGAGAAAAAATAAGTGAAAATAAATAAAATACTCTGTTACAAGTGAAAGACTAACAAGTAACTACCGGAATACTTGGAGAAATAGTTGATAAGCATCGTACCACTGTTTGTCGCATTTTAATGAAGCATAATTTTAAGTCATTTAAATATTTCGAACACCAAGAATGACGAACGTAAATAATTTTTTTTTGAAGTAGTTTGTTTAGTCATCTACGAACTATATTTGATTTTTTTCAAGATTCTATTATGTTTACAGTGTAAGTTTTGTCATTTTTCATTTAGAGAATATAACTTGGTGTATTTTTGACAGATCTCTGATTTTGACAGATCTCTGATTTTGACAGAAATGGATTTGTCATTAGGGCCATAGGCTTCATTTTAAAGAGTTCTTTAAAAAGTTTCACACAACACATTTTTCTGTAGAATAAAATGGTCTAAATTTATTTTTATTCACCAATTTTAAAATTTACAAGAGATTTTCTATGTCTACATGGAAACATTTTTTATTTTAAGTTTCGAAAAAATAAAAATTTCTATACGGGGCGTTTCAAAAAAATGTTTCTTTCTTCCTTGAGGAGATTCCTCACGTAAAAATAAGACTTATTTTTCATATTAACATAGGTCCGATTCTGCTTTGTTTCGTAGCTACAGGGTGTTAAAATCTTAATAATCTTTCGATTTATTATAATTTTCTTCCAAGTAATTTTTGTAATTCGAATGAAATTTTGAGGGTAACAGTTCCTATAAATGCTACATATTTTATTGTTTTTTTTTAGAAAAATATTCCAGAATATCTCGTATGAATATCTCTGGTGAATATGTTGACACCTTTTTTAGCATTAAAAAATATGTCCTACTCCCAAAATTTCATGGGAACCTCTAAAAGCACTTGGAAGAAAATTATAATAAATCGAAAAAAAAATAAGACTTTAACACCCTGTAGCGACGAAACAAAGCAGAATCGGCCCTATGTTGATATAAAAAATATATGTTAATTTTAAGAGAAGAATCTCCCGTCTTGTTAGAGATGGAACATGTTTTTTGAAGCACCCTGTAGTTTTCAGGATTCTAATTATGGGGGTTGAATTAGAAACACCCTATATAGTTTGTAAGCAAGGTTTACGAAAAGTAATCTATCCACATAAATTCCCAAACTTATTTTGATTGCTTATCTCAACTCCCGTAATAAAAATCCAACAGATGTCCTAAGTTTTTTCCGAAATGAAGTTATCGCCAAAGTTTTTATATCTAGTTTTCCTTTAAAAACACGATTTTTTTCCTATCTCAGTCCTTGTAACGTAACGAGAATGAGATAAAATTTATTTAGAGAGAAAAAAGTTAAAAAGTTTTATTAACATTCGGAATAATCTTGCTAATGACTCCGTAACGAGTCTACACTTACATTTGGCTTAATGCGATGTTGCTGATCTCCCCCGTTGATATTCTTTTGATTTTGTTGTGATCCAAATCTCTGCAACAAAAAAAAATACGTTTATATAAAGTATGTCTCCGGATTTTCTTTACAAATCCCTACCATGGTAATATGGAAGCGAAACCTGGGTGCCGATGCCGTACCGCCGAGACAGACGAAATAATAAAAACGTGGGGCCCATTAACTATTGCTGTAATACTTTCTTCTATACTAAGTGTGGATTGCATCGACTTACTATAATCGTAACTGGAGATTTTGACAATCAATAACCAGCCGTGGCGGCTTCACCAGCGAACGCCGAGCTCATGATCTACCAAAGTATAAAGATATGCTTTGCCATAGGTAGGATTTCAGAGGGGCCCCACGTTTATATTTTAGTCTAATATGCCTAAAAGCTATTCTGCCTAGTACTAAAATATTTCTGAACTAGAAGTTCAAAATACCTAATTGTTATTATTATTTTCTAGTTTTCAGTGCACATAAGATAAAACCGTTTAACTTAAAAGTTTTTTACCGATTTTTTATTTTCTAGTTTTTAGTATTTAACGGAGATGCCTACCGAATATTCTTCATTCTATTTAATTCATTTAGTGCATCATTATTACATGGTTTTTTACCTGATAATTTATTACAATCTAATTCCTCAATACATAGCCCTTCCAGAGACTTGACTCGACTTAGAGCCACGTATGCTGGCCCTTTCTCAAACAATTTTGAGCCCAAATACACTACTGCATGATCGACTGTGCTGCCCTGCATTTTATGGACGGTGGATGCCCATGACAAAATTAAGGGTAACATCCTTCTTTCAGCCGTACCATAATTGAATTTTGCTGGAAAGTGTATGGCTTTCGGGTGTATAACATGTAGGCCGCCTCTGCCAAAGTCAATCCAAACTGATGGTATATCTGTTTCGTACATTTGGGTTCGACGGAGCTGAGGCCAAACAATTTCTGTAATGTGGCCTATAGCACCATTTACCAATCCTTTTGTAACGTCAATGTTGGACCGCAACATTTTCACAAATTCATCACCTATTTTTTTTATCTGTCCTTCTAACGTCACACAATCTTGGACACAACTGTTCTGGACACGACTACTCATGCCCTCACCTAATACGCCATTTTGTAACGACGTCCATCTTGGATTTTAAATTTTGTCATAATCACAGTATTCTACTAGTGTAGCCCTTTCATTTGATACCCATATTGAGGGGGTTGTGGAAAATATGAAATCCGCCATTTTGTATCGGCGGCCATCTTAGATTTACAATGTTATTGATATTACTATATTGTATTGTCATCGGAACTAAAGGTGTGTACCAAATTTCAGATCAATCTGACAACAGGAAGGTACTTAAATTTCAATTTCTAATTTTGACCCAAACAAATAAATAAATACCGTACGGGTCGAGCTAAATAAAACCGTTTACAAATTCAACCTTACGTTACAAAAATATAGTAGTATGAAAATGGGATTAACCATTTTAGAACAAGCAAAAATTTTTATGAAGAATATATTTTAACAAAATTTTTAATAATAAAAAAGTTTTTCCTCTGTTAAAGACAATCCGGGAACATACTGTATATGTTAGGGTAATTTAGTCTGCAATGTTATTTTACTAAAATGGTTTCTTGCCCTGAATGAATATAAAAATAAATGAGTATCATATACTAGTCTATTATGAGAGAACATTTTCTATTGCTTGATTACTTTGAATAAAAGGATTAAGGAAAGAGCCTATCAACACAATTAGGTGAAGTACAATGGGGTGATAATAGAGCTGACTTAAATTGCGGTTCATCAGTGACATTCTAATTTTATTTAAAACGTTTAAAAATAGACTCAATAACATGGAGGATTAGTTTTGCGTTGTCCAATAAGTATTATTGTTTATTAAAACTTGTTAAACAATATATTTTTAATAAAAATGGATCAGTTATAAAAATTATATTAATTTAATAACAAATATATCAGATACGCTACTGAAATATCTAAGTTAAATTAACGTATTCTAATTATTTTTGATAATAAAAGCTAAAATACAAGAAAAATATATAATTACTTTAATTCTAAGTGAATTTCATAATTCACTGGTTTACTACATGTAACTTGTATTATACAGGGCGAGTCTTAAATAGGTAGGTGCAACAATTTTACACTCTTTCTTTTGAAATTCACAATAATGTCACTGTTAATTTAAGTTCTGTCACAATGTCTCTAAATAAAAGGAATTGCAGAAAAATAATAAAAAATATATAACAGGCTCAGAAAATACAAAGAAATACAAAGCTTGAACATAATTTTTCATGTGATTAAATATTACTTACACCATATGTAGGACTGAGCTTGTGTTGAGGCCATTTAGATTGGGTACATGTTCCAGTCCACTGTAGGCAATCCTCCTGAAAAATAAATAATCCATTATAATTTAATTAGTTTTCCAAAATAATCATAATTATTATTTAATTAGTTCTAAAAAATGTGCTGATAAAAGCCTGTTAATACAATTTTCATAAGGGACTGTTAAAAGGTTACTAATCTATGTTGGTAATATTATATGTTAATAATACAAGATGGTACCCAAATACATAAAGACTATTTTGAAGGCGCTTTCTCATATACCGGGTGCGTCTCAAAAGTGGCTCACCTCTATAACTTTCTTATTTGTTCAGATAAAAAAACGAAATTTGGTATGATAATATATGAAATAAATTAGGATTGATTGACGTATTCAATTGTTTTAGGTCACTTCCTGTTTCACTGGAAATGACGATCTTTAAGCGGTACATACAGGGTGTTTCAAAACAAATGCGAAAAACTTTAGGGGGTGATTCCTTGTTCAAAATAAAGGGTAGTTTGCTTCATAAACGTTGGGTCAAAATTCAACCATTAGGGAGATATTGCGGTACAAAGATGGCGGAAAAATAATGTTTTTATTTTTTATCTTGAAAACGAAAAGAGATAGACTAATAAAATTTTATGGAAGCATTACTGTTATGAAAACACACTTTCTGGTAATTTTTTCACTTTTTTAAAATGAGTGGAAGGGATTGAAATAAACTACCCCTATCATTCTTGTTAACGAAATTTAAAGAAAAATCTTATCAAACACATGCAAAAAAATTAATTTGGATAGTTTAGTTTGTTTAGACACTTTTTATCTCTTGTATTTTTGATAAAATCCTCACCGATTTGAAATTAAAAATAAAATGTAAAGCATTACATGTCAGGACAAAAACATTTTCTGATAAAGAATCTAGTAGGCTGCTGTAATTTTTTAGGAAAAATCTAGTCGGCCGCTGTTACTTTTAGGATGTTCCTAATATTATTTTATTTGACATTACTCTACTGCAATACGTTATTATCTAGATGATTATTATTATCGTTATTATCACTAGATTCTTAATCTAAAAATGTTTTTTGTCCTGACATGTAATGCTTTACATTTTATTTTTTAATTTCTAATCGGTGAGCTTTATCAAAAAAACACAAGAGGTAAAAAAGTTACTAAACAAACTAAACTATCCAAATTAAAGCATTTGCATGTGTTTGATAAAATTTTTCTTTAAATTTCGTTAACAAGAATGATATGGGTAGTTTATTTCAACCCCTTCCACTCATTTTAAAAAAGTAAAAAAATTACCTGAAAGTGTGTTTTCATAACAGTAATGCTTCCATAAAATTTCATTAGTCTATCTCTTTTCGTTTTCAAGATAAAAAATAAAAACATTATTTTTCCGCCATTTTTGTACCGCGATATCTCCCTAATGGTTGACTTTTGACCCAACGTTTATAAAGCAAACTACCCTTTATTTTGAACAAGGAATCACCCCCTAAAGTTTTTCGCATTTGTTTTGAAACACCCTGTATACTAACATAACAAAGCTTGTTTCTTTATCTGAAAAATTAAAAAAGTTATAGGGGGTGAGCCACTTTTGAGACTCACCCCGTATAGTTTCGAAGAAAAATCTTGTAATTTATGATATAAAGTTCAATGTTCTATGTAAAAAATCGTAGTATTGTATTTTTATTTGGAAGCAAGAATATGATAATAAATATTAATAAATTCTAGTGCTGAGCAAATATAAGAGAAAACACTTTCTTGGTTTTAATCTTGCGGGGTCCAGTCTTGGTCTTGCTCTTGGACTTGCTGCAAGACTCCTGCAAGTCTTAATAGATTTTTACTAGAGGTACTTTTTACATAGAAAATTAGCGAACACTCCACTAACTGGACCAGAACCGTTCTGCTTTCCAAGTGCTAACCAACTCAAGGCGGAACTCAAGAACTTGGAAGATTCCATCCGCAACCTGGAATGGAAATCTTGCAATGGTCTAAGACACTCGAAGAAGTTTCTGAGGGCTTATGATCAAGAAAAATCACAGATCTTCCTGGGTCTGAGTAAGAACAATCTTCGGATTGTCACGGGGTTTTTAACAGGACACTGTCTCCTCAATGAACACCTCAGTAGATTGAAACTAAGAAGAAACGGCGAATGCAGATTCTGTGGGGAAGATGGGGAAACACCAGTACACCTCATCACCGAGTGCGCCGAGACGACAACCATTCGTGCCATGAATTTTGGTACGACTGATATTGGAGATGGAGAACCACCCTCTATAAAACCGTCCCAGATACTGGCTTTTGTCAAAGCCCTGGGACTGTATGATGGGTTATGATTCAAGAAAGGGGGACACAATGGATCTGTAAGGTCGAAGTGATTAACCCCCCTCCCACTCATTCTAAATTCTAAAAATTCTACATAGAAAATCTTTAAATAAATAGTATTTTAAGTGATTTAATGCAAACAAAACTTTTTAAAGAAATTTTACTGTTTAGATACCATAAATCCCATACAATAGTGTTGGGGAATCATTTTTTATTTAATAAATTATAGAGGGAGGAGTACCTAATAAAAATTGCGATATATTTTTTAATTATTGTAATCAAAATCGTGAAAAAATGCAAGATTGCAAGCCCGCAAAAATCTTGCCATGCTGAGTCTTGTTCCTCCTCTTGACTATGACTATGTCTCGTACTAGTAGGTCTTAGTCTCAGTCTTGCAAATCTAGCGGTAGTCTTGGACTTGTTTTTTGTTTAAAACTTCTTTAAAATTATATGAGAAATCGTAAAATCGATACCCTACACATTTTAGCAACATTTCTAATCCCGTTACAATTTACAAACTCCTTCTTTTCGGCTCTTCTTTCATTTATTATTCAGCCGAATTGATAGTGGCAGCTAAATAAGTGGTCTACTCGATAGGGTCCGTATCTTTAAAAGGCCTTTTGTCTTAAAAAGCTATTAAGAGCCGAATTAATGAACCGACGTCCTAATTAAGAACCAATCGATACCAATTTAAAGAGTTTGAAATATTGGGTGTATTAAATCCGGTATGGTTCTTGTTAAAAAGGCTAACTTTGGACTTTTTCTCCATAGCAACTGTTAAAATTGCCTAATATCTATCAAAAAGAGTAGATAAAATAGTACTTTAACCGCAAGAGTAGATTAAATAATACTTTAACAGCTAGGATAGGTTAAAAACTGTATTTCTTCTCGCACGTTTTTTAATTGCTTCCATTTTTGAAAATTTTTGTATTCCTTTTCATAAGATCATTTAAACTTATCATGCAGCCATTGTTTCTTAGAGTCAGGAACACTTAAAGAAAACATGAAAAACCAGACAACAAGTAATCGTGAATGTTTTGTAAGCTATAAAAATATAAATATTGATTAGATTTGTTTATTTATTATTGATCTGTTTTAATATTGGACCTGCAAACCCAAGCAGCATTTGGACGTCGGGACAACGTTGTGTGACGCGACCAAACGTCGGGGCGCAACGTCGGCACAACCTCGTGCCAACCCTAGTCTGCACTAGTTTGGAGAATAATTTTTGGATCGAAACGACGTTGGATACCGACGTTGGCTAGAAGCCTAATTTATTACAAACTGCAACGTTGTTAAAAATCCTAATTCACAGAAAATACAAAAACTAATATGGCGCCTAAGTCGCGTTTTATCCTAGGAATTTTGGGATAATTCATAGTAAAAAATATTAATTTTTATGATTTAGTTAAGAGACCAATTATGTCAGATGGCCAGTGGAAGGAAAAGACAAAACAAAAAGTATATGACCATGGAGGATGTTTTGGACATATTTGGTTTAATACCCGACTCTGTAACTCGTTACCCAGGCAAAGAAAGTTACAATCGCAATAACACACTTTAATTGAGTAAATGTATTGTTATCTTACTTCTGAAAAATAGTTCTAATCCGGGCCACAGACCATACAACCCTTAATATTAAAGAGTTTTAATTCCTTTCAGGGAGTTATCTAATTTTAAGTAGTCTCTTTTTTCAGAGCCCCGAAACGAATTGTTCGAGTGTTTATTAGGGTTTCTTTAATGTATTCAAGCAAGAGAAATTGCTATTTTTTAGGAAACGAAAACAATTTTCTTATTTAACAACATGAGAGCGCGCATATTTAGCATCACCTCTTCTCTGTTTTAGGGGAGAGAATTTAAAATGACTGTAAGCATAATACTGAGTAGACACGCCATACTAGAACAAAACAGCAGCTAACGACAAATCAATACGACGCTACACGCAGTATATCGCCGCAAAACTTACACAACCAGAGATAGTAAATAAGTCTATCGCTACGTAGAAATATAGCACTCATAATTAGTATCATATCAAATCCTAAAAGAAAACGCTCTAAAAGCGTTGTTGCTTCAGTCCTCTCTGAAATTTATTATAATATACAAGAAAAAAAAAGAAAAAAAAAAAAAACCATCAAAGGAGAGTAGAGAAACAAATAAAAAAAATTTTTTTTTTTTTTTCACAAAAAAAAAAAACTGATCCGATATTAATGATTAGTTAAAATAATATAAAAATATCAATATATTAGTTTATAATTATAATTAAGAAGATTTTTTAGAAAAAAAAAAAAAACATTTTATTAATTAAAAATCATAAAATAATAAAATAATCATCAATACATAAAAAAAAGTTTTTTTTTTTTACTAAAAAAATAAAAAGAAACTTTTTTTTTTTTTTTTATTAAATTAATAAACTAGATACTGACTGAACAGAACAATAAAAGTGAAATTTTAAAATTTAAGGTTATGGTCCAATACAGTTGCAAAAAGATAGTGACTCGACGTCCTACCAACGTTAAGAATAAGGAAATCTACACAACGTTGGAATTAGTAAAACAGACGACGCGGACGTTTGCATAACGTTGGAATAGGTCCTGATACTGACGTCGGAAAACTCTATTTTGTCCAACGTTGTAACTACGTTGTCCGAATCATCTAAAGACCACTTAAGCAAAAAAGTTACAAGACAACTATTATTCGACGTCGCAGAAGCTTCTCTACTTTGCTGTAGGGGTACTA